ACCAACAAAGTTAGAAAATCATATTTATAAGTTCAAAAACAAATATTCGAAATTCGACGAATGTCGTTCGAGAAAGTGGCCTAGAGAAGAGGACTTTCAAAAACGCTCTCTTGTGGAGCTGATCCAAGGGGGAAATAGCTGAATTTGATACGTTTTTGAATTTACTTGAATTTGAGTGAATTTAGCTGAATTTTGATTGTGGTAATTCGGAAAATAAATGTGACAACATTTGTTTTTCAAAACAGTTTCAAAAATCTAGTGAAAACCTATATTAGGGAAAATAACCTATTTCTGCCTATTTTTCAGTAATATTAAAAAATTCATAATCCAGCCGAGATCCATGCAAATTATGCCAGAATATCAAGATGTACTCTGTTTTACTTGCTTAATACTCTGCAGTTCAACAAAAGCGTTGAAAATCAACAGAAAATACTTTGGTTTTTGAAAAGATTTTCTAGAAATCTTTCGAAGTACAAAAATGTTTTTTACTATTTTCAAGTGAAAAATCGTATTGAGCAGGTAAAATAGAGTACATCTTGGTATTCTGGCATAACTTGGATGGATCTTGACTGGATTATGAATCTTTTAATATTACTCAAAAATAGGCAAAAATGGGTTGTTTCACCTAATATAGGTTTTCACCAGGTTTTTGGAAGTGTTTTAAAAACAAATATTGCCACGATATTCAGCGTGACCGATTACCTATGTTTGTATCTATTTTCGGAATTACCACATCTAAAGAAATATTGACTAAACTGTATTCTTTCGATTTTTGAAAATTGCAAGTCTTTATCTTTTATCGTTTTGGAGTTATTCGTGGCGTCGAGAGTAGAAAGGAAAGAGAAATCTAAACGCTGCTACACGAATGTTCTTCACAGTATTGACTGTTTAATACCCACGCCGTTATCATGGTAGATTTCGGAGGTTAACTAGCATCTCTCTCTCTGACTCCCGTTCAATTTAAGTAAAGTTTTCTTGACCTTTTGAGGAATTTACGTGAATTTGAGTGAATTCAGATGAATTTTGAATTTACTTGAATTTAACGGACTAAATTCAACTGTTTCCCCCTTGCGCTGATCCTATTTGCTGCGGTTTTATCTGGTTTACTTTTCAAGTAGGCATTGGAGCGCGTTGCAAGTGGTTTTCTTTAAAGCACTTTTCAAAGTATTCTCCAGTCAAACACTTCAGAAGCTCCGCAAAACAAGACCGCTACAAATAGAACCAGCGCTACCAGAGAACGCTTTCTTTTTTACAGTGCAGATAAACAAATATTCTGTGGATGACTTCCTTTTACATAGATCAGAAAATGATACTTCGTCAAGTATTCGGCTGTTTAACCACAAGAAACCTTAAAAATCTTTTGGAAAAAATTGTCGACCACGTGATTACTCTGTGAATCTCTGTAAAAAATCATTCTTATTAGCAACGAACAAAATCCAAAAATAGCTGGAGTGAAATATCCCAAATGAGATTTAGCACACACAACATCCCGATCATTTTCCGTATTTATCGTACGTTACAGTCAATTTTATTTTGATCTGTTGTCCGTTACTTTTGTTTGCTGCAATTTATTCAAATGTGAGCATAACAATTCTTACCCATTTTAATTTAGCTTATTATTTTGATTTAACGGAAACTGCATGCCGTGGAAGAAGAATAAAACAAAATTATAACCTACCTGATCCAACAAATTACTTCGACAAACATGTGTAGCCGGCGTATGTGAAAGAGAAAGAGCAAGCATTTCTATTACATCAAAATTTAATCTATGTCGAAGGTTCGCAACCATTTCAAAACACATACAATAAAATTTTCGCTGAAATTAACGACGTACTAGCCAAAAACAAAACATGATCATCTTGTAATAAATAAATGAATTTTAGTTTTTGTAATTCATTTACAATGTAATAAATAGTTAAAGATTTATTGTCATTGTATGCTAATTAGGATAGGAGGATGAACTAGCAAAGGAGTTTCATTTAAAACACGAACTTTTCTTCTCAAACTAATTATTGAACAAACGAGCTTCTTTGCCTCAGAATACAGTTATTCTCTTCATTTAACAAGTTGACTAGTACAAATGAAACCAAAGAAACAACATAAATAAATAGATCTTGATTAGCTCAAAAAATACGATGAATCATAATACTGTAATTTGTCGTGCAGATAAAGGCAACTCTATCGTTGTACTGGATAAAAAAGATTATATTACAAAGATGGAAGTAATTCTTCAACTGAAGCAATTTAAATTTACCAAACAACCACCACTAATTAGTAGAGAAAAATCCATGAATATGTATATTTTAAAATTATTGAATGATAATGTGATTGATAAGGAAACTTATTATCGTATTCATTCCAGTTGTTCCTCTTATGCTACTATGTATGGTCAATCCAAAATTCATAAACTAAATTATCCACTTCGCCCTATCATATCATCTATAGGGTCTTACAATCATGATCTGTCTAAATATCTTTACGAACTCATTAAAAATAATCGACCATCAAAATCTTTTTCTTATATCCGTGACTCATTCGAATTTGTTAAGAAGATTACAGGAATCCAAAATAGCGCCGATCAAATAATGATTAGTTTTGATGTCGATAGTTTATACACAAATGTTCCTGTTCATGAAGCTATAGAGATTACTCTTGATATGTTATTTAAAAGGCCTACTCCACCTCCGATACCTTTTACTCGTTCACAATTAAAACGATTATTAAAAATTGCTGTATGTGACATTCCATTTAGATTTCTTGATAAAATATATATACAAGTCGATGGAGTAGCAACGGGATCACCTTCAGAGCCAATATTAGCTGATTTATTTATGTATAATATTGAGTATAAACTAAATAAATTCTCAACAAATAAACCATTAGTATGGATTAGATATGTAGATGATATATTTTGCATTTTTAAAAAACAATAAAATATTAACGATTTCTTAGTGAAAATTAATAAGTGGCACCCGAATATAGAATTTACAATTGAACGAGAATGTAACGAAAAATTGGCCTTCCTAGACGTACTGACAAGTCGAGATAATATAAATAATAAATATACTACCACGATATATAGAAAACCTACCAATTACCAATCTTTACTTACTATATGAAAGTAATCAATGCAGAGAATATAAAATAGGCTTAATTCGAACGTTGGTTATTCGTATACTTCTAATTTGTTCAACAGAGGAATTAAAGAATGATGAACTTTAATTAATAAAAGAAACGTTAATGATGAATGGTTATTAACATTTAATTAAAAGAGGCGTACGTGAAGGAGAAATTATCGCTAGAAGAATGACATCTAAACGACAACAAGTACAGGAATCAATGAAAAAGAAGGAAGTTTACTTTCTTCTCTCTTATTAAGGTCAAGAATTCTTCCCATCCAAAAGGGTTAGATGAATCAAAAAAGAATAAGAAATTAGTATATAAAATATCATGCCTAATTTGTGAAAAATGTTACATTGGAGAAACTGGTAGAGAGAAGAAAACTAGAATGAAGGAACATCAGTCAGACATAAGAAAACAAACTGAATCCTCGAATGTGGCTAAACACGATAATAAAGAAAATCATTCATTTGATTTTATGCGATGTGAAACTTTAACTCTCGAGACAAACTGGCGAAGAAGAATTATTAAAGAAAGCCTATATACACATCAGATGCAAGGAAAATCGCTAAATGACGTAAAATTTAAATTAAATATCTTCACATAAGACTATTATTAGTTCTTTCTTGTTCCTTTCTCTATCGATAGTCTATCAATTAGTATTAGCTTTTTCTTGTTCTCTTTCTATCGAGTTTCTATCAATTAGCAAAAATACTATATATAGAGAAATTTCATTTCACTTTTCTGTTTTTTCTGATGATGATAAGTGTCTCTTATCGAAAGCTTGAATAAACCTTACGCTGATTTTTGTTAAAAATCTAGATGATCTTTGTAGCAGTTTTATACTCAATAATATTTAAATTAAGTTCTACTGCTTTACCGTCAAATTATGTATTGCATATTGTAAATTTTTAATCTTTGCCATTAATGAATTTTCTATTAATGACAATATTACTTCATACTCTCATCCTTCACAGCTGATTGTTAATAAATAAATTTTAGTTTTCCATTTAACTAGTATATCACGAATAACATCTATTATACCGAGAATTTTCATTGTTTTAAAATGTGACGTTTTATTTGATTAATAGCAATAGTGTTAAATATACTCATTGCATCAACATTTCTACCAGCCATTTCAACTTTTAATTTGCGTTCGTATGAGCCTAAATTCAGAATAATTAAATGTTAATATAGTGAAAATTTATACATACCTAGTCCATATGGATAAATTTTTGTCCCTGATCTATTTCCAAATTTACCTATTCATTTTTTATACATAGGCATTAGTGGTTCAAAAATGATCAATGATGAATTGTAGAGACGAATATATTCTCATTCTCCTCCCTAACACGATACTGTCAACATCAAATTTTTCTCTCTCCTTCTAACTGTATACTTGTACGTATACGTGCACGTGTTCTTCTTTATTTTGTTTTTTATCTTTGACCTGAAATTTGTTAAATTTGACGATGGGTGATAACAGATACGATAATCTTACAGCAGCACAAGAAGATAATCTATGTGAGGGTGAAAATTTTCAACAAATATTACAAGAATTCAAATAATTGACCAAAGGGATACGGTAAACTCATTTAAACGACATTCAACAAATCGTAGTGAAATTCAATACGACGATGAAAATAATTTTGAAGAAAATGAAGGTTTCCGACAACAAACAAAACACAGGCAACATAAACGAACAAACTATAATGCAAGAGATGAACGTTCGAAAATAACAACAAGTAGAACGTACACAAATTCTAACTCTAATTCTAGTATAAATGAAAAACGCAATAATCAACAAGGACGAATGCAAATGAATAATAA